GAGCTTTTCTTGATAATGACATAATGTGTCAACTAATATCTAAATAATATATAACATGTCACAACGGTGACAATATTCATTATTATTATTATTACAAATAATATTCTAATTACAATAATCAAATTTCCAGTGATTACATAAATTTTTATCATTATCATTACTAGAAAAACCAATAATATAATTTGAATAGTCATTATTACTTTGACAAAAGATTTATAAACTAAAAAAAGATTTATTTGTAATTCAATTTTTAAGACAAAATGAAATATGAGTTATTTTGTTATTATTTTTGTTTCAATTGCATTAATCATATATTTTGCTATATTAAAAATTGATTCAAATAGAATATTAAATACTATAATTGCAAAATAAATTAGATATATAAGTGTTGGATAATTATCAAAATAAAGTTTTCATTATTCAAGAGAATTAATATAATTTGTTTTAAGTAAAAGTCAAAAATACTATTCAATTTTGTGAGCATTATATTAATTATCTAATAATAAATTTTGAATGATAACTCAAAATATATTATAAATTGTTATTAGTTTGGATGATAATATTTATATATTATTTAAATTGTATTTATCATATACTTTTTGTAGGTTAAATTTTATATATAACTGATTATTATGAATAAATACTAAAAATTTGATATATGAATTGAAAAGAGTTATAATTATAAATAATTTACAAAGTAAAGATCAGTAAATTTTGAGTTTTATTTTAATCATTCTCATAATTTTAACTTAATTATTAATATTTTTAATACTATTTCTATTTAGATATACAAATAAACTTATTATTACTATATATATATTATCAAAAATTAGTTAAGATAAACCAGATAATAATTCAGTTATATTATTTATTGGCTAAAAAATATTTATATATTCTAAAAAAATATATATAAATAAGAATTAGTATAATTTTAATAACAAAATATTGATTATATTATAAATTACTTACTTATAATATATTGTGCTTAGTATATATTACATAAACATTTTAAAAATTTTAATATTTTATAACAAAAATATCAATTATTATTTGAATTATTAAAGTATAAAATATGTTAAATTTTAATGAATTAATATATTAATCTTTGAAATTTTAAAGTTTTCTTCTAATAATTTGGTAATTCTTTTTATATCTTTTAAGAGTAATGACAAATTATGCAATTTGCTAGAAAAAGCACATGCTTTTTTGATTTCTAATGATATCTTTTATAATTTTATGTATATACTAAAATTCAGAATGTGTATAATATAGTACAGATAAGTAATATTTAAATTATTAAATTATTATTCAATTTTATTATATAATAAATAATTTATCTTAATCATATTTGTTATTAGTAATAATACTTAAAAGTTGATTATCAATCACAAAATTCTAGAGTATGTTACAAATTATATCAATTATATTTTTAGCTGAATGTATCTTATATAATGAAATAATATTAAAAAGCAAGGTTTATATTTATTATTTAGTATTATGATTTGGTGCAAAAAGATTGGTACACCGATATTACCCCTTAAAATTTTTCTATATTTGGGTGATGATCGAATACCCAAATCAGCAATCCAATGCATGTAAACAAATTGTGAGATGCATATCTTTTCATTTTCTGCCAATTTAGCTGTTTTCCTTTTGTATGGCTGACCTGAGACGAAAAGAAAGTTCATTAACAGATAACAAACGACGGATGATCATCAGCGTTCACCGGTACTTTTCAGGTGCTCACAACAAGAAGGAGCAACATCAAGCCATGCCACTATGCAAGCGTGTTGCAACAGCTCTTGGGATTGGGGAGGGAACAGTTGCAAGAGTAATTGCTGACTGGAACCAGAGAAATGACAGCAATTTTACAGCGCATAAAATGATCAGCAGACCACTGTCACGATCGTATATTTCGGGCTCTTCTTGATGTTGTATTATCAATCGTGACTTTAACCAATCATCTGTTTGTGTTTAATTATCAATTTCGTTTGTTTACTATTAAGATCCAGTTACCTTAGAATCACGGCGCTGTGCGACTTCTTCTATCATCAAGATAGGATATCACTACTACTAATAAATATCTTCCTTTGTATTTACTTAGTGTGTGGACGGT